GGTTGCACGTGATATATTACGCACATGACTAAGTTTTCGAATTTTGATTGGTTGTTAGTTTTTGTTACACGGGACGAAAAAATAAAATTTATTTTTAACCATAGATTATATATGTGGCTTTATTTACGGTTTGATTAGAAACAATGGCGAATTATTAGCCAAATCTATATACATAATTTTTATCTTGTCTCATTAATTTGTTAAATCTGTGAAATTATTATCAATTAACCTTTGTTTGAATAAAGATCTATCTGAAATAAATACAATCAATTTCTATCCTTTATCTCGAATAAAGATAACAATTTTAAATCCATGAAAATTATCTGAAATAAAATTCATCAATCTATCCTTTGTCTCAAACAAAGATAACAATTTTAAATTCATGAAAATTATTAGATCTGATTTGAAATAAAATAAAATACAATCAATTTCTAACCTTTTGTCTCAAATAAAGATAACAATTTTAAATCCATGAAAATTATCTGAAATAAAATACATCAATCTATCCTTTGTCTCAAATAAAGATAACAATTTTAAATCCATGAAAATTATTAGATCTAATTTGAAATAAAATGAAATACAATCAATTTCTATCCTTTGTCTCCTTGATTCGTAGAATAAAGATCCTTTACCAAATTTCTTATATAAAGGATGAATTTACTGCCATGTACCTGTCATTTATAAATTTAACTATATTGTTAAAAATAAATAAATATTAACTTCGTTTAAAAAGAACAGAAAATAAAATTTTAATTAAAATGAATGCTGAAGGAACATCTGGATCTACTAGTAAAGGCGGAAGTAAAAAAGGAAGGAAATTAAAAACTCTTACAGCTATTAAAAAAAAGGAATTATGTGAATATAAACGTGATAATCCATCCAAGTCACATGAAACAATTGCTGAATTATTTGAAATAAGTAAATCAACTGTGGGTGATATTTTGAGAACCAAAGATAAATGGCTTGCAGTTGAAGAAGATTCAACAGATGCTAATAAAAAATGTGATCGTGGAGGTGGATGGCCACAGTTAGAGGAAGCATTGTTGATTTGGGTGAATCTTGCCAATGAAGCTAACTATACAATAACTGGTGCGATCTTGAGTCAAAAGGCAGTGCAATTTGCTCAAAGACTTAATATTTCTGATTTCAAATCATCACGAGTAAGCATCAATTTCTTTTTTTTTTTTTAAATTGTGGTGTTAATTTTATCAGATCTATTAAATATCCATCATTGATTTTTAAATAGGGGTGGATTTCAAATTTTAAAAAAAGAAATAATATTAAAGAACATTATAAATCAGGAGAAGCAGCAAGTGCACCAATTAGTGAATTACCTGCATTTAGAACTGAACTACAATCTATAATTGCACAGTATGAATTGGAGGATGTATATAATGCAGACGAAACTGGTCTTTATTGGAAATTAGAACCCCATAAATCTCTTGCTAGTGGACCTCTCACTGGATTAAAGAAATCAAAGGATAGGATTACTGTGATGCTTGCATGTAATATAATCAGAACTCATAAATTACCTCCAGTATTTATCTATAAATTTAAAAATCCACACTGTATTCATAATATTGATAAAAAATCACTTCCTGTATGGTACTATTGGAATAATTCATCATGGATGCAACATTCTATTTTCCAAATGTGGATTAGACAATTTAATCAAGGAATGAAAAAAAGGAGAAGAAATGTTTTATTATTAGTAGATAATGTTTCATCACATCAATTGGAAGAAGGTGAAGAGTTGAGCAATACTAAATTACATTTTCTTCCACCAAACACAACTTCTCATCTTCAGCCAATTGATCAGGGCATAATACGATCATTTAAAGTAATTATAATATTCATCTTTTTTTTTATAAATTTTATTTTTAATATTAATAAAATTTGCCTTATCTTTGTATTAGGCTCATTATAGAAAATTACTATGCCAAGATAGGATTCAAGCATTTGATGAGCACCAAGAATTTGGTGTTGAGATTCCAAAATTAAATATTTTGAATGCAATTAATTGGACTGCACAATCTTGGGATAATGTAACTGATGATACAATCTACCGTTGTTGGCAAAGAACAGGTATTCTACCTAATGAGGAAATGGAAATATTTGAAGAACCAGATGAATTAGAATATGAAGAAAATGATGTTCAAACACTTATTAATCAAATGAATGTTGAGGATATCACAGCAAGCAACTATATTAATATCGACTCTAGAATAGAAATTGCCGAAATGATTGATGATGATGAGATAATTTCTGCAGTACAAGAAACACC